GCCGCAGGCCTCCGGGAGAGTGAGTCCCGGCAGCGGCCCCTTTCAGGGCCGATGGGCTCCTGGGAAGAGCCCCGACCGCGGGGAGGAGCTCAGGGTAGGCCGCGAAGCGGTAGGCGGCCCGGGGAGGGCGACCCAGTCCAGGGGAGGCTGCAGGAGAGCTCGGAGGGCCCCGGGAGGCTGGAGCCGGGCCCGGGCCCCGACCCGGGGACGGATGTATGTGGGCCCCGTCTGGCAGAGTTTTACTGCCCAGTCTCAGCACGAGCAGGAGGGTGCCAAAAGCTCCTACATGGTGACCTAGAGGTGCCCAAGGACCCTGCTGTGTCTGTGCAGGCTCCTGGCTGGGGGCTGAACTCCCTGTGTTTCAAGTAGTCCAGCTGCAGCCGTTTTGCATACTGGGGGAATTGGTCGTGAGCTCAGTTGTGTTCTCTTGCCTTTGACTCCTCTGTTGCCAGGTTGATTCTTCTTTCCTCTTCAGCCTCTTCAGTCTCAATTAGCATGTGTGTGGCTCCAGTGTCTCCTCATTTGAGAGTCCTTTCTGTTACAGTTCTTCCTTTATATTACGATTGACCTCCAGTTCTGTTGCTTCTAGGCTGCCTATTGTGCAACACCTTTCTTGGAGTCAGAAACACAACCTGTTCTGTGAAGCATTGAAATGTTGTAACCCTTAGCCTCCACGCCCCACCCCACCCCCCCTTACTAACCCAGAATTGAGTGTTGTTTCCGAGTCTTCTGTAGATATTTTATTCCAAATCAGGGCATATGTTCTGTCCATGAGTGACTCTTCCTGCTGTCTGTTTTGTGGCCTAAGTTTTGGGCTTCCGTTAACAGTCTGGCATTACAGCCCCACATTTATTCTGTGCTGTCCGTGAAACTCAGTCTCTAGATCTTTCAGATCTTCATAAGATCAAATGTCTGTAGAAGTTATGAAATGCCAGCTATGCCTGCGTGCTTTGTAAACATGACAGACACCACTGGTGGCTTCCAAATATCTGAAATTACTTCTGGGTTCTTCCATCACAGTTTCTCAAAATGTGTCCACATCTTGAGACCTCTGTTGCTGAGAGCCTCACTAGATTGAAGTAAACTCTCTCATGGGAATATTAAGCTGTCTCTTTTCTTACGTCATGGTAAATCTTTGTTGGCAGGCTTAATGGGGCAGCAGGCATGTGTTTCAGCTGACTTTGAGTGTTCTCTCTAGCCAAGTGCTTACAACATATTTTGGAATATTTTGTGAACTCTTGGAAAGCCCCACATGGCTTTTTAAGATGCTCACAATTAACTTTTTATGCTCTTTCTTTTTCTGGAGTCTTTTAGCTCGGTGGATTGTGTATTTCCTTTGTTCCTTGCCAGCCCCTTTGGCTGTTCCATGTGTGTTCTGAGGCCAGATGTCCTTCAGGATAAAAGCTGTTCGTTGTTCCAGATTCTCATATTCTTTCCCCAAAAGAGATTGCTGCTGAGCCTTTTCTTGCAGGGGGGAGAAGAGTTTTTTTGTCAACATCAGTCATACAGCAATTGAAGAACGGACTTGGACTTCCTCTAATACTGTTAGAATAGAGTTCTTTAGATTGTAAATTAATTATTATTAAACAGTTCTATGTAGAGAAACTACAGAAAATCAACTTGTCTTGCCACGCTGTCAGAAAATACTGTTGGGTCTGTTCTGCTTAGATGTCGGAGGGCTGTGCTGGGAGCAGAGCTCTGGATCCACGCTGTGCTACGTTTACACATTGTTTTGGGAATGGTGGAGGGGTTACCCTCATTATGGAGTGTTTTTCTCTGACTGGGGGGAGAGGAAGAGCTGCTGTTAATATTTATTTATTATACAGTGTAGGAGCTCGATGTGGAGAATTTAGATCATGCCTTAACTCCATTTCTGCATGTATGGCCTTCACTGATACTATGCAGGGAAAGTACGGGGGTTTCTTGTTTAGGTGATTTGACCTTTGATGAGACCAAGCTAATGTTAGAGTTAAGCTAAGCCAGTTTTAAATCTAACCTTTAGCAACACTTTGGCATAGGCTGAGCTGCCTTCTGGAGCACCTTGCTCCTTCCCTGGCTGCTTGGGGACCCAGTGTGATAAGTCTTCAATGTAGGTGCTGGAGTTATAGAAGAAGAAATTGGATTTGGAGCATTACAAATTGTAAGGTGGATTTTAATGTCTCTATTTATACGAGACGTCCTTGTGGTCCTCTCTTGGAAAAAGCTTCCAGACTGCTGTTCTCCCAAAGGATTACATTTTCGTGTGGGGAGTTTGATATGCTGAAACTGAGAGTAGGAAAGAGTCAGCAGTTAGACGCAGCCTGCTCATTTGTAGTTTTCTTAGCCGTAGAAACATCCCAGTGGGTGAGATAGAACAGCCCTTTGGATGGACATGGGGTGGCCTCCTTTCACAAAGTGGTTCTGCACAGCGTGCATCCTCTGCTTGCAGACACAACCCTACAAGTGGGAGGATGCAGTAGGCTGCATAGCAAGAGGCCAGGCTTTCTCCACATCTACTGCTGTCTTTAGGTATCAGGTGCAGGCAAGCAAACAGGTAGCCTGCGTGGTTGTGGTGGAGAGGAAGACTGGAAGGTGGTCGAGTCTGTGTAGTGCTGGAGTAAGGGGAGCCTGGCAGGACATGGCTGCACAGATGTTGGTCTGATGGATGCAAGGACAAAGCACGTATCTTTGTTCCTTCTTGGACAAGGGAAAAGAGATGAACTTGGCTTTCTGCAGGTCATGTCTGCTCTGAAGTTCATCAGACTGTCACCAAGACTGTTCTGAGAAGGAGCTAGGCTCAAGCAAAGGTGATGTGATGAAATTACTTAAAAAACCTCTTGCTCTTCTCTCCTCACAGGCACCAGGAGTGCAGTGCTTAACACAGAAGCTCGCACTGTAGAAGCGGATGTCCTGAGCCGCCGCTGCGTCATGATGCGACTGGTGGATTTCTCCTATGAGCAGTACCAGAAGGCGCTCCGCCAGTCAGCTGGTGCTGTCGTGATCATCCTGCCGCGATCCATCTCTTCTGTCCCACAGGATGTTGTAAGGGTAAAAAAAAAAAAAGTTTGTTCCTTTTCTCTACCAATGGGAGATGTATTTGAAAGGGGGAGAGGCTCGGGTTGCTGTAGGACTGAAAGCTCCTGTTGTAACGCACAACAAATCATATTCTAATTGTAAAACTTGCCTTTCTCTATCCGCTTTGGTTGTTCATTTTTTTCTTGCATGTTTAGCAGATGCTAAGTTTGTGTCTCACTTAAATCCTCAGCAATTCATGGAGATAGAGCCAGAAATGCTTGCTATGGAAACCATTGTGCCAGTCTACTTTGCAGTGGAAGATGAAGAGCTCCTGTCTATCTATGAACAAACACGGGCTGCTTCTGCATCACAGGGTTCTGCCTCGGCTGCAGAAGGTGAGTTCTGACAAGCGGGGGAAAGGTTTAGAGGAAGACAGTCCTGATCCCACCTCTGGGAGCTGTCTGCTTTGTCATATGCACCGTGAACCAGTGTTTGGTTGCTTTCATGTTTATTCTGCCTTTGTTAAGGTGCTTTGAGAATTAATGGAAGAAGAACACAGTATAAAAGAGAGTATTACTTGACTGTATTTGGAAATACAGTTGCATGGAGTGAGTTCTTGGCTTCACACTGTTGCAAGTAAGACAGAAAGCAAAACTAAAGTTAAAAACAGCATTGAAGATGTTAAGTGACTACAGTGTGTTGGTAGAAGCTGAAGCTTTTTGTCTGACCACAAGTCAGTTCAGTGCTTCCATGTATTTCCTTGTAAATAACTTTACTATCTTACTGACCTGCTGCTCATGATTAACTTTAGGACTGCTGGAGAAATGTTTCTATTTTAGCCATCTCAGAATATTGGGATTTCAGGACAGAATGAAGATGCATGGTCACTAGGATTCCATGTCAATGCATAAACAAAAGCAACAAGTTGAGAGGGCTTAAATGGTTTAAAGCTGGTCTCTCCAGAGCTCAGTTAGCAAGGGAAAAAAAGGGATGAAACATCCCCAGGTGTACTTTTTTTTTGGTTATTGTTCTAGTTCTGCTGCACACGGCAACTGCCAATGGCTTCCAGATGGTGACCAGTGGGGCTCAAAGCAAAGCTATCAATGATTGGCTCATACCTAGTGTGGAGGTGAGTTGTATACGGATTCAAACTGACAACATTGATGGGGTGCCTTCTTTTATTGGGACTTCATCAGATATTTGGACTGATAGGGGAAGTCAGGGGGGTCTCAGCCAGGTGAGTATCTGAAGTCCTCAGAACTGAGGCCGCTGCAGACTCAATGGGCGTGTAGAAGTCAGGCTGTCTTTGTACAGGCGTACAAAGGGCGATGCTGAGTGACACAGATCTCTTTCCTCTACAGGGAAGGCTTACAGGTCTGGGTGGAGAAGACCTGCCCACTGTTGTGATAGTTGCCCACTATGATTCTTTTGGAGTTGCTCCAGTGAGTATTCTTTCTTCCTGCAGCTCTACTCCTGTCTGTGTGTTCCTGACTTTTTTTCTCATGTGGCCTCTGCCCCTGTGTTTTTTTTCTTGGCCTTAAAGATGTGGGGTAGTTATAAGTGGTGTGGTGTGCTATCTTGAGGGCTATTCTGGTACGTGAGAGTAAGTGTAGGGTTGTCACCTTGTCTCTGTCCCACTTCATCCTGCAGTGGCTGTCACATGGTGCTGACTCCAATGGCAGTGGTATCTCAGTGCTGCTGGAACTAGCCAGGCTGTTTTCCCGGCTCTACACCTACAGACGTACCCATGCTGGGTAAGAAACCGCCCTATGCTTGGATGAATGTGTGTAGCTGAGACCAGATAAGAAGGGCTTTTGCTCCAGATACGAAGTGTGTTAGAAGCAGTCTTCTCCTTCCTTTGCTCTGGTTTGCTTCCCTGCAAGTACAGCTGCTGTTAATGGCCAAGCTGCTTCCTTTGGTTTCTTTGCTGTAGCTCTGCTCAACCTTGGGGACAAGTGGAGGGAATGATGTGGGAAGTAGATTCTGTTCTCAAGCACTGGGACTCCCCCCCCGCCCCCTTTACCCCTGTCCTGCCATTACCTTAGTATGTGGCATGTAGGAAGCATTTGTTAATGGATAACTTGCCTTGAATGTCAGGTGCTAGCTGTTGCAATTTCACCATGCCTCCAAGGCTGAGTAAAGGAGTTCTGTAGCCATGGAGTGCAGTGTGCTAACACTTTCCTGTCTTCTTTGATGGGCAGGTATAACTTGCTGTTCTTTGCATCTGGAGGTGGCAAGTTTAATTATCAAGGAACCAAGCGATGGCTGGAAGACAATTTGGACCACACTGGTGAGTAAGGGGCTGGCATTCCAATGTGTTCTGTGCAAGGCCTCTGTTAATACGATTGTGTTATCTGTCTAGTATGTCAGCCCCCCTGCGAGAATCTCCTTGTGTGGGCCTTGCTTTTTTGGGATGGGAATCCCAGCACAAAACATAGCAATAAAGGTTTGGATTTTTCTGTTCCAGATTCCAGCCTGCTGCAGGACAACGTAGCGTTTGTTCTCTGCCTTGATACTCTGGGCCGAGGCAATAGCCTTCATCTCCATGTCTCAAAGCCTCCCAAGGAGGGGACCTTGCAGCATGCGTTTCTGAGAGAACTGGAGATGGTAATGAAAAGCGTTTTAGGTAGATGGGAACTTGGGACTTACTATGGGCAGCTGCAGCTCTCCAAGAGAGGAGGGAAGGAAGACGGGAAGAAAGGGTGTGCCATTGAAATATTTCATGTATTTTGTACGGTCACTTGATGTGAAGTGCAGAATCCTCGTGCCGCAGTCCCAAATGAAGCAGACTAGATCTGCTGCATTTTCTGCTGCGCTTCCTTATGGCTTGTTGCTTGCAAAAGCTACACTATAGTGACATGAAAACAGTTTTTTTGACATTAAAACAGCTTTTTAATGGCAGTAACTGCACCTCACAGCTGGAAGTGTATTTACCTTCTGGAGCAAAAAAAAAAATGGGTCCAGATGGATTGGGCAGTGCAAGATGGGACTATGCAGTTAGCAGCATGACACCCTGGATGGCTTCTCCTTTCCTTCAGGTTGTTGCCAGCCAGTTCCCAGAGGTGAAGTTTTCTATGGTGCATAAGAAGATAAACTTGGCTGAGGACATGCTGGCATGGGAGCACGAGCGTTTTGCAATCCGACGCTTGCCAGCATTCACCATCTCCCATCTGGAGACCCACCGGGACAGCCTGCGCAACAGCATCATGGATAGGAGGTTAGAGGCCTTAGGGAAGGCTGCAGGTGAAAAAGCATTGGGAGTTGGGCTCTGGATTCAGGCTCATGCTTGATGCAGTGAAAAAGGGTGGTTTCTAGAGGAAGCTGATACCATTGGCAAGTCTATAATCCCCTCTTTTGCTTTAGGGCACGAATAGACACTAAGGCACTAACCAGGAATACTAGGATCATTGCTGAGGCTTTGACAAGGGTCATCTACAACCTAACAGAGAAGGTAAGAGCTGCCCATTGGTGCAGTGCTAGCCAGATTTGGCCTGCCCAACCAAGCTTGCTCTCACCAATAGCCTGGGTTATTTTTTTCCCTTGCAGGGAGCACCTGCAGATCTGCAGATCTTCACAGATCAGATGGTGAGGACAGTGCATTTTTGTAACCTGTGGGAAGAAGGAATCGAGTCTGGGAGAGTCGCAGCATATGTGTGGTTGACTCCCTTTCTTTGGTGGTATTTTTCTGCAGCAGATCCAGCAGGAGCAGCTAGAATCAGTGATGGACTGGCTGAGCAGTCAGCCCAGGGCTGCCCAGCTGATTGATAAAGACAGCACCTTCCTCAGCACCTTAGAGTATTATATGGGCCGCTACCTGAAGGATGTCAAACAGCATCATGTAAAAGCAGACAAACGGTAAGAGAAGAGATGAAAGAACCATCCAGGGCATGCAAAATTGCTTCCCCCTCCAATGAATTTTGTCTCTGAGCTGCACCTTTTCTGGCTTCTTGGCATGTAGCTGGAAGTGATTGCTCTTTTCTGCTCTCCTGTTGGTTTTGGTTCACGCTCTCTCTTCTCCCAGAGACAGCACTTTGTCCTTCCTCAGGGCACAGTAACAAATCCCAGTAGCTCCTTCTGTCGGAAGAGTTTGTTTTTTCACTGTTTGGGTTCCACCCATCACACTCTGCTGCTTCTCTCAATGCGCAAAAAGACTAAGATCCCCTAGAAAGCTTTCTTTAATTGCAAAAAGGCAGCTTCCATCCTGTCTAACCTGCTTGGGTTGAAGGAGTTGAATGAACCCAACCCAGTGAGGCATCTTCTATGTGCCTCTTCTGAGACAGCTGACCAGCATGTATTCTGAAGTGTATCTTTAGGCTTCTGACTGTAGGAAAAGAAAGACTTGACAACTAAAACTGGTTCAAAACTGGTATACAAGGTAGTCATGCTTACCTGTTTCTGGTTGGATGAACTCCTTGGGAACAGAGGTCTGGGCTGTCCTTACTGCACTGTCAAGAAGTGGAATACAACCTGCAGAATTTCTTCTTTTCACAGGGACCCTGAGTTTGTTTTCTATGACCAGCTGAAACAGGTGATGAATGCATACAGGTATGGAATTCCTTGGGCATGTTCGGCTGTTGTCTCACTCTGTGGCAGTACCTGCTGTAGCAATTCCATGTGTTCTTTCTATACTGCAGGGTCAAGCCAGCGATCTTTGACCTGCTTCTGGCTGTCTGTATTGCAGCCTACCTTGGTGTTGCCTATGTTGCAGTGCAGGTAAGAGAAGAGAAGTGGGAGACAGATGTATTATTTCCATTGTGAATCACGTTAGCTACAGTATCGTACAGTCCCAGCACCAAAATTGGAATAATAATGCCACCCCACTCTAAAAGTAGTAATCCAAAATGGCTGGCTGTTCTGATGTGCGTGTTTCTGAGTATCTCGGTTGTGCTGAAAGCAATCTCTTGCCATTCTAGTGCAGAACTGTTTTATAGAGCTCCTTCTCTTGGTCAAGGATGTGCACAGCTCACTTGTTAAGTTATTTTGGCTATGTAACAGCTTCAGACTGAAACTTCTCAAGGTAGCTAAAATGTGCTGTAATGTTAAAGGTTTGCAGCTTGTAGTAAGTTAGGAGTGTTACAAGATCCTTCCAGTATCTGAACTTGGGATGCAGCTTAGAAATGCATCTTCAGGGATTTGTTAGGATGTGCACAGCTCACTTGTTAAGTTATTTTGGCTATGTAACAGCTTCAGACTGAAACTTCTCAAGGTAGCTAAAATGTGCTGTAATGTTAAAGGTTTGCAGCTTGTAGTAAGTTAGGAGTGTTACAAGATCCTTCCAGTATCTGAACTTGGGATGCAGCTTAGAAATGCATCTTCAGGGATTTGTTGTTGGTTTGGTGTGTTTTTTTTTTTTTTTTTTTTTTTTTTATCCAATGAAACCATAAATACATCCTGTGTCCGTACAGGACACATCCATACAGGAAATGTGATACTCCATGCCTTGGCCAGCCAGCTTAAATTAAGTGGGTTTGTTTAAGTATTAACAAAGCCACTGTGAGCTAGGCTTCTGATCCTGACTGGGTTCTCTCAAGAACATGAATGAAAGGAAATCATTTTAGATCAATCTAAATTTTGATCACTTCATGTTATCTGTGTTTATTATTTGTCTGGGGAAACAACAAGCATTTAAAAATCGGATGTAACAACATAAACAGGAGGGAAAGTATATGCTTTGATTTCTGTCAGCTGTCTTCATTACATTTGTTATTACAAATTATTTGAAGCCTGGATCTTGTTACATCTGTCAAATATCTGAAGTGGCTGTTATTGAATCGAAATACAATTCATCAAAGCAGAATCAATAGAGGAATTAAGGGAATTTCTAAGTCACAGGTGAAATGGTGAAAGAGAAGATCCAGCTAAAGGATTGTGAATTACTGGGAATCTCTGTTTGCCTGGTTCATTTTTACATTCCTGAAACTGCTGGCAGCAGTGTTTCTGTAGTGACCGGTATCATGCATGCGTTGAAATATGAAGCTTTCTCCTCCCCTTCGGAAGGAACAGAATTGCATCAAAAAATGTAAAATCTTTAACAAGCATTTGAATCTTCACAATGGGGGTGGTACAGGCCTGCAGCAACACTTCTGTAAGCCGTCACTTTCTGTACAGCTTGAATTAACTATGCCTCATTGTAATAATTCCTGCTAATTCACCAAGTCCCACTCTGTCTTCAGGATGAGAGTGCTAGTGGATGATCCAAACAAGGTATTGCATTTGTACTTTAGTATTGTTCTAAGCCTTCTAGTAAGTTTTCTATCTGTGTAGAACACAGTTTATTAGAATTTATAAGGACTCATGGTTATTTTCCTTCTGTTTCCAGCACTTTGGTCTCCTTTACAAGATGATACAGAGATTATCCCTTAAAACCAAGCAGCAGTGAAATGACGAGTCATCATCCATACAGCAGCACTGAGCCATCGGTGAGCCCATCAGGAACCTTCTGCCTTCCATTGAATCCTGCTGTTTCTCTTCCTCTGTCTCCTCTTTGCTACTCTATAGAGGGGAGGAAGGCAGAAAGAAAATGAAATTTTAACTCTTGTGCACCTTTTAAGTGCTTTTCTTCACCTTCTTCCCCTGACTTGCACCATGTCTGTTTTCCTTTGCTTTTTGGCGAGGGAGAGGCTCAGAGACTTCAGTAGTTCCTGCAGGTTGTTTAAACACTGAACGGCTGATTCTGAGCAGCTTCTATGAGTGTAAAACCAAGTCCAGCACCTTCATGGACACATGTGCCATACAACCAACTTGGAAACTGAAACTACAGAGCAGAGTGACATGTCACCTCTGCCCAGCAAACAAGGACTAAGAGCAGTTTTTAAAAAGAAAAAAAAGTGCACATGCAAATTAAAGAGAATACTATTAGCGTGTTTTCTTATGGCACCTCTTTCTTAAGTTCACTGCCTGGCTTTAGGAAGGTGTGCTGAGCAAGCAGTGTCTGCAGCAAGCATCTTCTTGCATTTTGTTTAGACTGTGCAATAACTCATTCCCTTTTAGGAAGTGCACTGTAAACGATCTTGACTGTTATTGACAGAATGAGGAAAGGTTGTTAAAACGGGTTCCTTGCATTAGGGTTCTTACCAGGACAGGTTCTCTCCTGTCTCTACTGGAGGATGCATTTTGCTGTGTACTTGATTTCTCTTAAAGTTTATGGTCCTTGAACGTCTGCCACCACTCTGTGCTAAACTCTTGCTTGGTTTTTAAGGGGTGTTCTGCAGTCCCAACTGCTGCAGGATTGTGACTGTGCTGTTCCATGTATTTAAATTAGCTGTTTATATTAATAGCAAGAGCAGCCCAGCTCCTGCTGAGCTCTGGTCTGTAATTCCTTCAATCTTCATTCCTCGGTTTTCACTTCCAGATGAGTTCTGGATTTTGGGGTGTTTTCCCACGTTCACCTGCATCTCAGGGTCTAATTTCACATTTTTCAGCTCTATTATTTCTGGAAACACTGTTCCTGGCCTGCACGTATGAGCAAGTTCCCAAAGTGCTTGTCGCTGTCCTTTTGTGTGCTGCCCTCAGTATGAAGGGAGGCAGGTCACTTGGCCATTAAAAAGCAAAACAAAACAAAAAATGAAGTTTTATGAATGTCATTTTAAACATGGCTGCTTCTAGAACTGTACCTGAGAGAGTGTATCTTGGAACACACGCTCGCTGTTACTTTTATCCTTGAGCAAGCCTTGGTTTTAGTTTGCTGGTGCTTCTGGATGGAGAGCACTATGTAGTTGCCCAAAACAGTTGCCAGTGCTATGCAAAGATCGCAAGGGCCAGGTAACCGGTTGCTCAAGCATTGTCATCATCTTAAGTTTAAGTCTTTCCTGAATTACACCATCCAAGGTAAGCAGGATACTTGTCACTACTTTCTGGTGAGAGCTGAATGCCCTTTCTGGGCAGTGTTGCACTTTGTTTACCCTCGAGTTCTTCTGGAAAATATATTGATACTGACTACAAGTCCTAGGCTAGTTGTAGTTCTGGATGATGTCTTGATTGAATGCTACTGTCCTGCCACTCAGCAATGTTTGAGTCCTTTCTGTAATTTGTTCTATGCACATAAGGTCTCTTCACAGGCCACGGTGACTACCTTTTTTTTTTTTTTTTTTTTTTTTAAATGACTACTTGTATTTGAAATAGCATCTTTTACAGAGGCTGAAAAGCTCTTGTGGGTTTGAATGAAGGTGTACCCTTTTTTTGTATGCAAGGAAAATTCAAGCTGTGCATCCTTGTCTGCACCATAGCTGCTGTGCGCACACTTGTTAGAAAAGGGGTGGTTGTGGCCAGTCACTGTCCTTGTCCTTTGGATGGGGACCGAAGCACTGATTTCCATCCACCTTTGTGTGTTTCACTGTAGTCTCCTCCTTGGAGCACCCTTACCCCATAATGTGTGCTTTCTACTCCTTCAAATGTGTAGCAACTTGATCTTTAAAGGGTCTTTTCTTTTCCAGGAGAGCATGCTGATGTTAGGGGTTCACTATAGTAGCAGCAGGTGGCATGGTACCAAGCACTCCTGAAATATCAGCCCTACAGGGAAACGGCTTTTTCTGATCTTTTGAGTGCTTATTTAAAATACGTCTGTCTGCATGCATAAAGTGTTTGTGACACTCCTCTACTAAATTAATTTATAACAACTTCAGAAATTGCTGGAGTGGCTGGAAGATGAGCCTTGATTGTTTTCCACTGGCTTTTATGCTCTGCCCTTAGAGACTACATACGTTGTGCTATGGGAAGGTGCATGCTCTGGGATGCTCAGAGGCCTCCAGCCGCATCATTTCTAGCGTGTTACACTTGGAGAGGGGGTGTTCCCTCCAATCCAGCAGATTACTTAACCAGGCTTAATGAAACTCCGTTACTTCACTGAGAAAAATAGAAAAAGCAAAATTATTAGCAATCCTACTGCAGCTTGACCTGACGCATATAAAATTGGCAAGTAGTGGGCAAGAGAGAACAGAACAGGCCCGGAGCGTTCTTCCTTGCAGTGGAGACTGTCAATGTTTGGTCTTCCAGGCGAGAAACTCAAAGTTCAGAGTCAACTTCCACCAAGGCAACCCAGTATGGTTGCAGCTACGTCCCTGTTGAGGTTGTTGCATTGAAGCAAACACTTCAGCTCCTTGTGGTCTCAACAGTAAACTGCTAACACTCCTGATGCAGTGCCAGAAGCCAGTGGCTGCTATCTAAAAGAAAGGTGGATGGAGTAGATGAAGAGAGTTCATAAACCTGAAGGGCAGTTGGGATAGCACATCGCGCTCTCCCACACAAGGGTAGTTTGTCCTATAATCTGGCTAGATGCATTTGGTGTATCTCTGGCTGCCATGGAAAGTAGTTTGTACTGCAGATAAGGGACTATGCTTTTGATCAAAGGGCATGTGCACTGGAACATTGTATACTGAAACCTGAGAGAGTCAAACTCCACCTTTCTCATAGCTGGAACAGAGTGCCCATCCTGGGAGTGAGCTTAGTTCCCACATTGCTGTTTCCCTTGAAGTTGACAGAGAAGTTTGTAAATAGACCCTGCTATTCTGCTAGGTTTTGAAAAAAAAAAAAACAAGAAAAATTATGCTGATCCATACTGCAGCATAGCTGATCAATTCTGTCACCAACACAACACGCGAAGGCGAAAATGCAACAGCTGTTCTGGTAAAATAAAAGTTCTCCACAGCATTGCAGAAGAGCTCTGTGTAGCTGATTCTTGTTGCCCCCGTGTTTACCTGTTCTTTTTATTGGGAGTTTGCCTGGAAGGAAGACTCATGGAAAGCGTATGTCCACGTGTACACAAGTGGCTAGTAGTTGGTACTTCTAGCCGTAAAACAACTTTCTTTGTTATCTGTCTGACTTTACCTGTTGTCCTGGTGCTGTCAAAGTCTGCAGCTCACAAAAATCCGGTTTTCACAGGGTTTAAGCACTGTTCATTTCCTTCTGTTCACTCCCAAACCACACAGGCACTAATGGGGATTGTACGCAAATAGTTTGGACTATCGTGGTTGATCTCCCAAATAAGAGAAGTTGGTTCATTGGTATGAAATAAGTACTACTGTGCAATATCAGCTCCACCCTTGCACTCAGTGCTAAGAGGAAAGACCCTAAAGCCAAAATGGAACTGGCTACCCCGCTATCTGTGGCTGGAGGAGTCACCACAATCTACTTTGATGTTTAAAACCACAGATACCCAAAATCGTTGTGGGGCTTGGTTTGGGGTGGGGGTAGGGAGGCAGGCAGGCAGGCGTTAGCTGGTTGTTTTAAATCATGCAGAAGCCAAAATACCGAGCTTCTCCTGCACCTTGTGGCCAAGCTGGGTTTTGCATTTAAGAGCCATTCAGTCCTGACGTACCAATCTGAAATGACGAGGGTGCTACTCTATGTCTCAGTCAATGGGGCCTCTGGATACTCAAGCTCCTGCTTGCTCACTTTGATCTGTTTAGTTTCTATTTGTAGTTACTGCATAGCAACTTCAAGGTTATAATCTGGAATATTTGCAGCTCAGGAAAAAGAGTTGATTTATCTAGCAATGTTAACTCAATTATTTATCTCGTGTGTGTCCTAAAGAACAAATGTATATTGAAGTGAATATTTAAAAGCTAATAGAAAATTCAATGCAGTTGATTTACATATTTTTCTGACTATAAATGTAATAATATTTAAGTATTTTAACATTTTTCATTTCCTTATTTGTTTGTCCCTTTTTCCCTTGGAAAAATAAACTGAGTGAGTAGGTTTGATGAACAAATTTCTTGGAGAACTATTTGCTGCTGGAAGCTCAAAAAACTGGAATCTCCTTGTGTTATTTGAAGGAATAGGCGCCCTGCAAAAAGGGAGAAAACGTATGTCTTTAAGAGCTTACATCATCCCTTCTATATAGTTAAAAGTAAAATAGTCTGGTGGAAAACATTTACAGACCCTGAGCGAGATTCCAGCACATTGAGGCGAGCAAATTCCCATTTCTTTGAAAGGTTTGTGTGGAAGCAATCGAAGTTTCTATGCAAGACAGCTTCAATACTGTGAAAAACTGGCCACCTGAGAAGCCGACACAGTGTATGATAGTGGTAGGTTGTGCCTCTGTCATTACCAAATAACTTTTTGAACACTTATAAACTATTTATTCAAATTGTAAACATTGCAAGAGCTCTGTTCCCTGAGGAGGAGTCAGCCCCGGTCTTAGAAACCACAGCAGTCAGGATTGTAGAGCAGGACACTGATCTAAACACCACAGAAGGGGAAAGATGGAGGTTGTACTTTTGTTCTGCCTCAGTGGCCGAGCACCTAAGGGGTTCCCCTCGGCAAGACCGACCTTTCCAGCAGCAGCTGCCCCACCTCCGCATGTGCTCTAAGGATGTGCGAAGTCCCGCTGCTTGCCTTGCCCAGCCGCGATGTTTGGCTCCCACACGGGCTGGCTGGAG